CTCCAGAGGAAACAGACCTTAGACCATCTGTTGAAGCACAAAACGGATTTAGCAAGACAAGCGTGGGAGCTGAGCAAGTAAAATCTCAGTCATTCTAGCAATTACCCTACTTACTTTGCACTTCCCATGATCAGCTGGCTGGTCTGTTCCCTAGAACAACCAGGGATTGTGGGGCTTCTTGCTGGCAGTTGCAGTTTTTCCCTGCAGCTCAAGCAAATTCATTCTCTATGGTACATCCCCCTGCTCTGTAGCGAGGCACACGTGCCAGGAATTCTGCTGGGGGCCTCCCTGGAACTTTCCTCCCAGCCTTTTATTTTTTTTCTGGGAGAGATCTAGTTAGCTTGATCTTTCACCTGACCCAACAGAGCTTAGCTAAATTCATCCAGCCCACATTTAGGGAAAAATACAGCAGCGTGACAGCCTCAGCAAGGAGTCATCTGTTGAATATTCTCATTTCATGCTTCAAGAGATGTTAACACCTGTGTCACTTCTCCATTCCATACACAAGATACCTCTGCACACCCCTAACAGCAGAGAGTTCTTGGCAAAGGCTCCCCACACTGATTAGACAGCATGTCCACTGAATACAAATAAAGCACAGTCACTTGTGCAAACCCAAGATGGTAAGTACAGGACGTTAATAAGATTCTGTACACATCCTTAGGTACATTTTCTCTGGATATGAGATTCAAAACGCAAGTGTTGTAAATGGAAGTCTCCTTCCTTTATCTGCTCTAAGTGTATCTCAGCTGAGGTTATGAGAAAAGTATATTAAAATGGAAAAACAAGTCACTGGTTTCTTCAGTACCAGAAACAGTGAATAATGTTTGAGAGATTAATTCGTAACTGCAGCTTCACTCAGTGATATTCAGCTGTGTACTATTCAATTCCTCTATCAGAATCACAGCCTATAAAAATCCCTGTATTTAGAAGTAATTTCTGAGGGCCAAAATGGAAAGGGCATTTTTCAGTTTGGAAGACTTAGTACATTTTTGGTATTTTATTATCATTGTTATAGGCTTTTACAGAACAGAAATCAAAGCCTTTATGTATGTGCATAGACATATATAAAAAGAACACAAAGATTCTCAAACAGATCTTTATTTTCTATGCTTTTCTTCCACTAGTATCAAGCAGGATTTTAACCTTATGGCTAATACAACAGTTTGATGGATATATTTAAATAGATTTCAAGTCAGACAGACTCAAAGGCTAAAGGAATCATCATGGTAATTTCACTTGGCTTCTAGTGTGATACCAGCCACAGAACATTCCAAAACATTTCCTGCACTGAACCCAAACCTCACTTCCCATCTCAATTTCAAGCAGTGAGAAATCCATAACTGATAAACCCAGATATTGCTATTCAGCAGACTAGGGAGATAATTTTATTCATCCAGACATTTTAATCTTTATTGGTAGAGCTCTGGTTGTAGTAATTCACAAAAGATAATGACTTCAACTCAACTTTCGCCTTCCAGTAATTAAAATCTAGTCCTATATATTACAAGTTCTCTTCTGTCCTGCTGATGTGAGAGTGTTTAACTATGATAATTCATTATCAAAAAATCAGGGTGATCTACTTTATTTGGCACAGGATCCATTAGTCTTTCCCAGCTACTTGCCACTATAATACTTTTTCCAACATGTAACTTTGGCTTTCAGGAAGGCTGCAAGAGGAATTATAGCTGGAAATGCAGCTGGAAATCCTCAATCCAGTCTTACCTCCCTACTCCTGGCAGTAGGGATGGGATTTAGACAGGGCCAGTTAGTGTAAATCTGGACACATGAGAATTTACACCAAAGTAATGAGGAGACCTCCATACCTTCAAAAACAATTTATGCTTCAGTAATTGCTAATTAACCAGGATAGGCCATAGGCATACAAGCACTTGAATTTCAAACCTTTATACTCAGAACAGCATTTACTGAAAAGGTGTATCAAGGTTGTTCCTTGAAATCTACCCAAGAACTGTCTGAAACAACTAGCAAAAGCTCACTCATTAGAAGGAGTACCAAGAGAAAAGCAAAAATATAAACCAGAATGTCACACAAGTCTGAAATAACTCACAAGTGCTTTTGAAATGCTTGGCAGAACTCATCTATGAAAAGTAATGTAGGGGAGTTATGGAGTTCTGATGTTCACAAGTGTGTGGGAAGAAGGGGAGATCCTGGTCTATTCCATCCAACACTCTTTGAACAGGTAACGGAGGCTGAAGACTTGTGAACCTTTGTACTGCAGAAATAAAGCTATGTTTAGACAGTGACCCAAGTTCGTAATTAAGTGCTTCTCATTGTAATTTTCCCACTGTTTCATATCAACAGTTCTACTATCTTAGCTAAGGAATTAGTATATTTTCTTTGACACTTGTTAGTGAAAGACCTTCTCTGTACCATTTAACAGGATCCTATTTATTTTTATTGCTGTGAGACAAAGGAGTTTCTCATCTATCTAAGATAGCTGGTTTCACAACAACACATCACAGACATCTTCCTTAAGCTGTGACATCAGGATTACTCCTGCATAATAGCAAGGAGCCAGTGCTATAAGGAGACTACTATTTCCCTGCAGGAGTCAGAGAAGCAGCTGAACCAGTTTGTCAAGATAAAAGCTATGATAATTAGCAAGGACCCTGCCATATGAATCTGAACAGGATTCCTGGGGCTGGAAGTGTGTTTAAGAGTCAGAAGCCTCATTAATCACTGTTAGGTTCTCTTGTGTGAAGTTACCCAGGTCCCCACTCAGCCAGGAAACAGCTCTTTCTTTTGGGAAGCAAAGCCAAGGTGTTCTCTTTTAAACCCCAGCTGCAGTTCCAGTAAAATGTCAGAAACACAGGAAGTCCTCAGATAATGAATAATTCAAGGAAGGGTGCAGCTACAGCACACGTGGTACAATCACCATTTTCTGCTGGACCATTTTCTAGCTGGAACCACAAATGCATATTTTTCACTGAGAGCTAAAATATTCAACATGCATTTTTTTGTTCAGCATGCAAGGAAAGAAATTTTTTACTTCTATTACAGCAAGACTATCCTAATATGGATGCAACAAGCATAATTTTCAAATGAGAGATGTTTAATTGTCTTTGCTTGAATGATGAACATTTTGCTGGCTTGACACCCCTGTCACAATTTAAAAAATAGATAAAATAAACTTCACAGTATTCAGGTTCTTACATTATCATTACCATGTTTTCTGGGGCAACATTAGGGCACAGTCTTTCACCACAAGACAACTGTCAGACATAGAGAATTCTCTTGTAAATCACACAAAAGATGAGTCTTACCACAGTAATTTATTTCTTAAAAATCTAATTTATTGCACTTTGTCTTAAAGCACAAACAAAACCAAAAACCTAAATACAGAAGTAAAAGTAAAAAAACCCATTCTAATTTTGTTGAAACTACCCTAAAAAGTAGTATGTAAGAGCTCTTGACACCAACTGAATATTAACGACCATAGCAAGGAACAGTATTATACAGTAAATAAACAACTAGCAAGCTCAAACCATTACTAAGATGATTCTGAAAAATGTAATACAAAAGTGTCACTATTAAATAATGCCATTGTACTTGAGCATCTGGTGCTTGGAGGGCACAGAAAAGTTATTCTTTCTCATGTCCTTTCTCCAAAGTGATTGACTCGGGAGTTGCCATAAGATACTTTTAAGCTGAATTTCAGCTTCTTTGGGGTCCTCAAGACACCAAGCTATGCTTACAAGAAACAGACTGGGTTACTTCACAAGCTGAATCCATTACCATCCACTTCCAGACAGGCTAAAAGAATCCCTCTGGGGTAATCTCTGTATAGAGATGAGATTAGCAAAGAAGCAAACAATCTGTAAAAGGGAAATAAATCTGTCCTTCCTGTAGGACTGAGATTCAGCTGAGAACTGAAAGGCAATGCTATAAGTGCTACTAAAAAAAATGACATAACTTCTCTCTCCACCAATTCACATTCTCACCTTGCACCATGCTTGTTCCAAGTTTAGTGCAGTACATGCACGAACTATTCTGAAAGAGAACAGAGGTTAAAAAGAAAACACATCCTTTTCCATTTGTATTGAATTCTGAAAACAGAAACATCCCCACTTTTCAACTCTTGGCCCTTCCTGAAGCTGGCTCTTTTACAGTATTGGTTAGCAGCTGCTCAAAACATTCGGATGATTTATAAGCTTATAACAAACACAAAGTAACTCCTCCGCCTACATACTGAACTCAAATTCTCTCATCTATAATTCTATTGCTTAAAAAAGATGAGGTATCTTTCAAACAAGATTTAGTATAAAGAAAAATAAACTGCAATGATTAACTTAGGTTACTTCCCAGTTCATCACATACTTCTGTTGCAACATCTGTTAAGACACTTCAAAATTTAGCTAACATAGCTAAAAATCAGAATATTGTTAAGTATTTTCTCACAATATCACAATTTTTAATGGGATATATAGGTAATTCTATCAATTACCATTTTATTCTTAATAGATCTAAGTTTGGTACTCAAAACAATATGAGTCCAAATGTTAAAGCACTGGCTGGAGGCACAAATACAGCACAACAGGAATTATGAAAGCTGCCTTGTACATTCCTGCTTTGTACTACAAACTCAACAAGCGACCTCTTCTTATTCCAAGATGGGACTCACCCCCAAAACTCTGTCAGCTTCCTGATGGCTACAGAAATGGGCAAAAGTCCCCCTGATATTAGCTGTAATCCAAACCTCTACCTTGTGAATGAAGCCAAATTATCAACAAAATTTCTGGAAATGGAAGGTTAATATAGCCTTGCAATTATTTATATGGAAATGGATCAAACGAAGTTAATTCTGACAATACTGTGGAATCATGATGTTCTCAGATCTTACTAAGAAATACTTCACCATATTTTCTTCCATGCTGCAAGGAAAAAGAATTCTAAATATATGTACAAAAGTCAGGGAGTGATCCCATCAGTATGGTATGGAGTTCCAAATACAAGAAGAAATTGAGAAATGCTTAGTGTTTCCACTGTAGAGAAATATTTAATGCAACAGAATTCCTTCTCAAAATCAGTACATTAGTTGCATGCTGTTGTGAAGTACTCACTTTCATTGCTAGTAAGGTTAAGTTAAAAGTTATATTTCCAAAGGAACTTTTACAGTAGTACAGTATAACAATTGCAGTATGCCACACCTAAAGAGTCTCCCAAAAGATTATGCAACAAATATTAGAACTCACAGCTTTGGGGCTATTTAACAGGTCAGTTTTCCAATAGAAAAGTGCTAATATCACAGGTCCAATATGAGTGGCTTTTTGGTCCAATATTCTGTACATACATTACAGAAATTCTGTCCTTCTGTTTTTTCACTCCTTCACAAGCTTGACAGACTTCATATCACTTCCCATTCATCTTCCAAATCATCAGGGTGAAGCAGAACAGATGTGTCATTATTTTTCTGCAAACTATGGGCATGGCTAAAGGTCTTGGTGAGGCGCTGGAGCAGAGATCCTGAAGTACTGATTGCCCACAGTTCATCTAGATGGGTCACTGCAAAGCATAAATTATCCATCTTTTAATTACAGTAGCAGGTTCCAATTCTAAACACTGAATAAACAATATTTGGACCTGTTTTCCCAATTATACCCAGAGAAGGTTTTTACCAATGTGATAAAAACACTCTTGGTGGAACACAGTGTGTGTGGCTCTCCCTGCATATGGTCATCTTGAGCACCATCAGGTAGAGCTCAAAGCAGACATCACAATGTTTTGGACAGACTGTCATGCAGAACCAACTTGCCTGTTAAACGTGAGACATTCCCAGGAATCTTCTTCCAGTAGTCTCCTGCAGGGTTCTTGTCAGTGATGCCGTATCGGCGAGCGACGTCTCCGTTGGGGCAGCGTGCCCACACAGTCCTGGCACTCAGAGCCAGCTGGCAGGCCTGCAAACCTGCAGGGAGTTGGACATGAGGAGGGAATAATCAGGCTGTCCTGGACACTAAATACACCTGCAGAAAGTACTGCAGAGAGCAGACATCACGACTATAATAGTTTTTATATATTCTTACATGAAGCACTGGTGAACAAAAAAAGGTTTTTAACTGCAGGCTTGGTACTCCCTGCATCTATTGACCATAAGGGTTATCCCAACATGGATATAATTTGTTATGTGGCCACAGCCACAAGCAACATCCAATTAGAGGACCTTCATAACATGCTTTTGGAGCCCCCACTGTGTGTGACTACCACATGGTGAATAAGCCAACAATTACAATCTTAATTTGTGTAAAAATGGTTAACATTACAGACATTGTGGGCTCCTGCTCCCTCTTCACAAGAGTACTCCGCAACCAAGTGCCATGAGTTAATGCAGTGGCAGGTCTTTAAAAAGCAGACAGCATCAATGCACAGTTACTTAGAAGGAAACAAAATTTAGTTTTATTTAAAGGCCATGGCAAAAGTGTAATTACCAAATCCACAACATATCCAGCACACAGGATTAGTAAAGATGTGAGAAATAGAGTAAGGTTTTTGTTACACACATCTAGGTAGAAACCTCATGTGATATCACAATTAAATACAAAACCCCACAGTACATCAGTCTCCCTACTGCTTAGGAATTCTGCTTTACTTTTAATTGAAAGGGAACTGTACCACTTACTAATTGAGTGGCAGCAGCTTGAAATAACACATCAGAAATTAATTTAAAAAATTGTACTTCTCCCAGTTAACTACTCAGTGTTATTAAGTAAAACCAAGGTACCTTTTAAAAAATAACCCTTATCAAACACTTGATTAAAAAAAAAATTTAGGCATTACTATCCAATTTAAAACGCAACAAGAAAAAAAAACTAAACAAAATAAAACCACTGAGAAAATGTCAGGAACAACAAGGAACTGATGCATTAATTTTTACCTGGTACATGTTCCCAGTCAGTGCCTACAGGCATTTCATCTGTAATTCCAACTCGTACATGGACATTCCATTTGCTATCAATTGCCCACAACATCTGATCATTTGGACTTGAATGAATGCTGACCAAGTTGATTCCTACTGGCTATAAAAATTAAACATAGTATTTAAACTTTGTACTACTGTATCTTTGTACTACTGTAGCATTTGTTGTTCATAGAAGTACACAAGAGCAATAAAATATTTACCAGATACTAAAGACAGGAAGAAATGTATCTGATATTTTATGTGCTATTGTACACAATTATCCATTTTCCAAGAACTTTAGCTCTTTGTAAGTGCAAAAGGAACATGAATTAACATATCAATACTGATAGTGATATTAATATTTAATGTTCAGTATTCAAGTCTAATAACGTTAGTATTTGCTTAACCACTGCTATTCCAATCAGCTACAGTTTGAACTGCAAGTTGGAAGAGGGAGCTCTTCCAATGAAATGCACAAAATGCAGTATTTTCCTCTTGCCTAACAGAAAGTTTTCCTAACATTACTAAACCTGCACTTTATTTCTAAGCATATTCTAAAGCAGTACATTTCTACAGTCTGAATGTCTCCTCTTTGCAATGAAATGATGATCTGCCTTCTTGCCTGTACTCCACTCTACGGGAAAACATCCATGGAACTCATTGCAGAGTACTGCAGTACTGGAGCAGCCACACTTGCAGGACATGATCCACAACACTGGCAAACATAAGTGAAACACACTTCTCATTCTTCTCCCAGGTATGTCCTTATTCCACCTGCTTTTACAGAGATTTTACTTAACTCAAAATCAGTAGCACTGACATAACATCATGACTTTGTAGCAAAACCTATAATCTAATCAGGTTGGATGATTGCAAATATCCTGCAAAACGTGGACTTTGAACAAAACATGGATTTTAAACAAAAAAGCTTTTCTCCACAGCAGCCTAGTAAAGGCACTGCAGAAGACAGTATGATGTCTGAAATACATAATCTCCTCACAAAGCAGCACTGCACTCCTTGCTTTAGCCTCATGGGCATAAGCTGAAATTTCACAGTACTAAATAGAAGAGCAAGTAGCTGTCTGTATGTACAAACCAAGGGATACAGAAACATGATCTGCATGTATATATAAGCACACAGCCCAATCCCATATGGGCCTTCTGTGTACATAAAAGTTACCTGCTTAGGTTTTGCTTTTAAAATTTTGGTGCTGACTTGGGTCTGACCGAGCTACAACCAAGTCTGACTTGCATCACCAAATCAACCCTGTCTACTCAGGTTTCAAGGCCATTGACAGACTATCTTCTCATGTTTTCCTCTCATTAGGTATTTGCCCTTCACTGGAAGCTTGAGGGTGGTAGAGGCTTGATCAAGTATTTACTTGAGGTCACAGCAAATTCACAAGTGGCTGCAGTTTGAACACTTAGAAGTGAAGCCACTAATTGTCTTGAAAAGCACTGACTACACAGAATACCACCTGCTTAGCTACTTTCAGATTGGTATGAAACTACTGTTTTGAACAAAAATCTCAAACAAACAAACAAAACCCAACCCCAAAACAACAAACCACACCAAAAAAACTCAAAACATATCCAAAACCAACCAAGCAACCCATCAAATGCCCAAACCACGCTAAAAACAAGACACCCCAAAACCCCACACGATTTTCTCATTTGGACTTCTGCCCCTTTTCTGGAAGTGATCCCTACTCCTGGCCCAGTTTCCATTTCTCCCCTCCATTTTTTGTTTGCTTCTTTCTACAGCCACCTTGACTCTCACTCCCCCCCCCATCCCTGCTCACGTTCCCACAGCACTGCCATGGGGCAGTGCCTCACACCAGTGAAGTTTCCTGCTCACCACATCCCTCAGCACCCTCCTGCTCCTGCTTTACAATCCCATGTTTTACACAAGGAGCTGGGCAGTTACTAACTTGTGCAGGCTGAAGTACTGCATGAACAGGACACCTTTGCCTTTCACACTTTTTTTATATTTCATTTTTTCAAATCCACTTATCTCCTTCTTACCACATTCTTCTAAATAGTCACCTCTTTCTTAGGTTTAGGACTTTCTGTCACCTTTCCCCCATGTCCTTCACACCACAGATTGACAGTGTGTCTGTCTATGCTCTGCAATACACTTCATGCTCTAACCAGGGTCCATCCCAAACTGTGCCTGACACCTTGGTGGGACTTTTGCTGCTGAACTGTTGAGATTGGTGCACCTTGCTCCCCACTCTCATATGTCAGGATCCCACACCTCTCTTCTACTCTCATTTGTCTAGAAGAGAATTCTCCGAGAAAGAGCTGGAGGAGTATTTCCATCCAAAAAGACTTACTGAGTGCTTAAACCTGCCACCTAAGCCTCTGCATTATTAAAGATTTACAGGTAGTGGAAGCTAAAAAAAGCAGAAGGAAGAGGAGGAAACACCCAAAAAGAGGAAACACCCAAAAGGAGAGCCACAAAAGGAGTTGTATGAATCTCAGCTAAATTGCTCCTGATACCACTGCAGGCTCAAGTGTAATCAAAGCAATTACTTCTACCCTATTCTGCACCACCAACACATCTAAATTCCAATAATCAAAATCAAAATAATGTGTTTAAAAGCTTGGCCAAATATTCCTCTCATTCTTTGCTTTCCTAAGTGAGTTCACTTCATCTTTAAGTTTCCCTGCCTCTCTGGGTATTTAACTTCCAGTTTCTCTTCCTTTTTCAGGCTAGTCAGCCCTTTCTGATAACCTCACATAATAAAACAATCCTCTTACTACTACTGCAAAGGATCCAGCCAATTGCTCTACTCTCCAGCTTTCTGCTGTGGAGCAGCCAGTAAAGGACACAGCTGACAGGACACACAGTGACATCATCACATACAACAGCTTTTGGCACAAACCAGGAAATTTGTTTGGAAACAAATACAGGCAATTCTTAGAGCCTGCTGCAAAGGTTTGACTTCTGGCTTATTTTTTACCCAGAAAGCAGCCACCTACAAGAAGGTACTCTCATGGCTACCACAGTAAGGTAGATAAAATTAATTTTACATTTTCTTGACATAATGAGGTATTTTCTTAGAACAATCATGCTGATGTTATCTCAGCTATCTCCCAATTTCACTAAGTTTTAATTACCATAAGCATGCTTTAAGTATTTTATAAGTTATATAACAAGAAAATCTCTACAGCTGCAGTTAAAGGTTAAATAGAGTTGTCTCATAGCACTAAAGAAAGATATCTGCAAATTCATAAATCTGCTGATAACATTTAGAGACTGATAACCATGAAAGTTGATAAATTATTTCAGCGTAGCCTTTACTCAGCTGGTTTAACTTCCAACTGTGAAACATGTCCTATTGGTAATTTCCTGGAGAATCTGGAATTTTAAAGTACCTTGCAGCAGTCTCTCAGCCTTCCTGCTCTGACGCACCTGTAAACTCTGTCTATACATTTATCCACAATGTAATCACCACTGTGAGAGATCAACTTGTTATGGATCATTCATGGATCCAGTGCTATTTGAAAAAATTGCAGAAGGTTGTTTTTCTGTTACTTGGGGTGCCAAACATTTCTAAACTCTAAAAATCTCACAAGTCTGACGGGTTTAGCCAGTCAGATCTGAATGCAGATTCCCCACCCTCTGGTCTTGTGCCTTGGATACAAACACCCCAGTCACTCCCTGTCTTTTGATATGAAGAATTTCCCACCAGGACCATGGACTGCAACACTATCAACTATGTCCTTTTCAACATTAAAGTAATATACTAAGAGCTGTGGATATATTTGTTGTCTGCTACAAATAAAACCAAAGAAAACCAGCTCCTCATGTCTGTTGTGAAAAATGAAATAAACTTGAAGGAATCACATAACTGGCAAATTGTTGATATCAGGAAACAATGTCTACGCTAAACATATTTAAGTTACCAAGTTGTCCATTAGCTGTATAATTCGGTGCAAGTTACTGCCTCTCTTTCTGCAAACCACAGAGAAGTAAGTTGCAGTGTAAGTATTTAACTTCAACAATAGTATCAAACAAAATCCAAAGTAAAAACTAACACATTTCTCCACCCAGTCTCCCCTACATACTACTCAAAAGTTTTATCTTCTTGGTCACAGTTGAACCCAAATGGCTAAAGTTCCCTGTCAAGGAAGAAAGGACAAACACACGCACACAAAAAAGGCACCAGAACATTTTCCACGTCACTTTTCAGAAGCACAGAGTCCACGTACCAGCAAACCTCCATTATCTCTGTTCTGCTTCAAATATCCAGGATAAGGAAGACTAAACATAACATTATCAGTCGGGCAGAGCCTAATCCTTTTTGTAACAGGTTGGTGGCTACATTCAGCACAAATGTTTTCCTTGCCTTCAAAAGAAAAAGCAGAAACACCTTCAGCTGGTCCAGGCCAGCATGTAAGGTCACATGAGGGATACTTCTCACACTCCTGAGTATTATGAGTGTATCAGACTAATCTGTTTTCATGACTACCAACATCCAGACCCTCCAAATGAGGATAACAAGAATGCAATTTAGAGAGACTCTCCCGCAATAAAGGACTATTTACATATTATTTTCCGAGGTCCATTTAAATGAAGCCTTTTCAGCATTAGCTTGCTAAATTAAGTGCTGCTTTTTTCTCTGCAGAGAAGTTCAAGGCATTATACAGGAGCAGTAAAGATCAATCTGTTAGGTCTTCCTTGATGCCACACGTTCTTCAGTAAAGCTGGCATTAAATTGTCAGAAAAACATAACTATTTATTGTCTGTACAACTGGAGCATTATTTTCCTCAGAAGCCTTAGAACAACAACAGGACCCTTTTCCCCACTTTCTCCCTTCAGTGAATAAAAGGGACAAAGGTCTTAGTTGGGTACTTCCAACCAAGGAGGTATCTACTCTGCTGTCTATGACTAGCACAGTCTGGAAGGCAAAGCAAAGCCAAGGAGGAAATCCCCTGACCTCTCCCTTCTGTCAGCTCTAAATTTTTTACTCCAACTTTTTTTTTTTTCTTGCAGAAACATAGGAAAGACAACAACATATGGTATTGAATCATAGAAAAGATCAAACCAAACCCATGCAACTACTCACCACATTCTCAACAGAACCATAAAATACTTTAAAAATACTTAG